TGACGGCACCACTCCTCTCGCCTTCGGGCCTGCTCACCGAAGGTTATGCATGCCTGTTGAACAACGGACAGAGGGTTCAGACGGGCATTGGGATTATGATAAAATATTGAAATCAAGTCAAAGTGGGAACACTTACAGTCAGAGCCGACCGAAGGGCCCTGGCTTCGAGGGCGTCATCATTATAAGTGGAGAGGGCTTCTTTGTCCATCATCGAGGTTATCCCCCTCAGGAAAGACAACGGTTCAGCTGAGCCATGCAATACGGATGCCCCCGGAGCGAGGGATAGCCGAATAATCTCCCGAGGCATCGTCCCCGAGGGAAGGTCTGTCTGAGCCATCGGAGTATCAATTGCCGGGGGATCAGCGGAGGGCTGATCATCGAGCATTATGAGGGGGGCCGCCTTCTCAACGGCGTCCCCGGCAACCTTCTGCTTCTTGGTCGGGGGCTCCACCCCCTTGCCCCCCTTCTTCTTTTTGGCTGCCACGTCAGCCTTCGCCCCCCCGGCCGCAGTAACGGGAGCAGCAGCAGCTGAAGGCTCTGCGGTCTCCTTCGGGAAAACCTCATCAATGGCCTTTTGACTCGAGGGCTCCGTCTTCTCCTTCTTCTGGGCTTGCGCCCTCTCTTTCTTCTTCTTCATTGCGAAGAGAGCCTCCATACCTGCAAAACAAAGCAAAGAGAATGTTAACCCGAAGGGTTCATACCAAAATCAACTATCGGGATGCAAAATGAAAATGCCTAAGTAGGAAACTAGGGGCCCTCGTAGCCTACCTCCTGCTCCCCCGAAGGCCTCAGTGAAGACAAGGTACTTCTCATCTGCTTCCCCGATGAACCGGTACCGTCGGAACCCGAGGGCATGCAAGTCTTCCTCAAGGGTGCATTCTTTGATCGTCACGACCTTCGTCTTGCCCTCCGGAATCTTGGCGAGTTTCAGGCCATCCTTCTCTAGGGCAGCACTCCCCACCCTCCCGTGGCGCCGAAAGCGGCCCCGTAGCTCCTTCGGGAAGGGATTCTCAGCCAGCCGGACGTAGCACCATCTGTCTTTCCAGCCCTTATTGGACGAGGGCGCTTCGGTAAACAGCTTGAACTTTGCTACCTGCTGTAAATTAGCGAAGCCCTCGGCATTCGCGTGCCCCCCCCCCCCCCCGGCACAGATTGAAGCTTTGGAAGAAGAGGTCCAAGCTTGGGGTAACACCCCTCGTCCGGCACAAGTGCAGGAAGCCAGCAATGTATGAATGGCTATTGGGGGTAAGTTGGCAGGGGATGAGCCCAACAAACCGGAGGTACTCTCGGAGGAATGGATGCAGGGGGAACCGGAGGCCCATGGACACTGACAGAACGTGGACGGCAATGCATCCCTCCGGAGGCCGGGACAGCAGATCATCGACGCTTGGCTCCACCACTACGGCGAGGGCCCAACGTGCAGCTGTGTGACATACAAGTCAGCCCTGTCCGCCTTCGACTTAATATCGAGGGCCTCAGTGTTTAGCCAGGTATAGCCCTCTGGCATTTCAACGGGCCCCCCAGCACCGGCGGCCACACTCTTCTTCTTAGGGGCAGCCCTCTGCGACTTTGTCTTCTTTTTACCGGGGGCTATCCTCAGAGGCGTCGGGTCCAACGGTCTGGAGGTACTAGGCTCACCACAGTCATTCCGAGGGGGTGGCACAGCAACAGTAACCCTCATCGCCTCCTTTTGGGCTTCGTCCTCCGCCACCTGACACGCGAGGGCTAGTTCTTCATCTTCACACTCCTGCTCGAAGCCTTCGGCTTCCACCTCAGCAGCAAGAGCCTTCTGCAACTCCAAGGCCACGACTTCGTCATCGGTAACCGAGGGCGCACTGCTGCTTGACTCGACATCTGAAGCAACCTCATCCTCAACCGAGGGCTCCCTCGATATATTCTGGGAATCACTCTCGGATGACATTCTTTACCAAGAAGATGTGCCTAAAGTTTCGAAGTGTTTCTACGGAACCCTAACCCTAAACTAAGGCCAGAGGGTGGAACTTGCAAAGAGTGTTGAGGAGCGAAGGGAGAACTAACCTCTGAAAGCGCAGTGACCGAGGGCTCGAGTTCTCTCTCTAGAATTTTTGGCAGAGCTTCGCTAAGGATTTTTGAACGCGTAAGGAAGGAATGGCTCTGGCTCCGGGGTATTTATAGACCCCAGAGTCTGGGCTTGGGCCCGAAAACCGGGCCTCCGGGTGGACGCCATCATTACACGCCGCATCTTCACCCAACCCGCGATGCCGCCCACGGACAGCCAGCCATCACACGCCACGTGTGCCACCCCCCCCCCAACAGCTATATCCCGTCGTTACATATTCCAACGGCCATATTTCCAACGGCTATATTCTGGAAGCCCCCGGGTTTTCTACTTCACTCCACTTCATCAAAGATAGCCTCCGGGTGCACTCACCCAGAAGTGCCCCCGGGTTGTGCCCACACAGCACATTACATACGCCTTCGGGATCACCCCTTCAGATCCCTAGGGCTGCATATTAGGGCACCCCTCGGGATTTTCCCCTCAGCACTGCAAAACCGAGTAGCCCCCGGGGAGTGCCTCATTGATGGATGGCCCATGTCCCTCGGGTATCTTCATCACCACCTCATCAACAAACAGTGGACCCCCCGGTAACAGCTTCACTGCTGCCCTCATCTGGCAGGCCCTCGATCCCTGGATTGAGGGGCTCCCCTTCGGCGCCATCAGGATATCAACAGCAAGCCTTCGGCTAATCAACATAGGAGCCCTCAGAAGAGAGAGCCTTCGGCATTCCCGCCATCCTCCATTTTTTACCAAGGTTTGACATTTTCGATTCATCATTGGGGGAATTCGGTGCACTCTTTTTCCCTCATTAGGATTTTTTCCCAAAGGGTTTTTCCTAATGAGGTTTTTAACGAGGCATCCCCCCAAAATGAAACGAAAAGCGTCAGCCTTCGGCCCACAACAGCAACGTAACTACTTTACTCCTTTTTCACCACTTTACAAGTGCCTCAAAGAGTGGGGGACTGGAGGACCCCTTCGGGAAAACCATTAAATTACAAAATCTGTGAAATTCCAACAAACAACAAAGCAAGCCCTCAAGTCCCGACATGTGGGTAACTGAGGGACTGCCTTCGGCAGGGACATAAAAGCAACAACTCCTCACCAACTTCAGGAATCACGATGGGACAACATCAAAGGGCAAGCACAAGTTACTCCTTTTCCCTCAAGTACCTTTCGGCAAAAGGAGTGAGGGACTCCTGATGGAGGATATGGCCCGGGAACCCCCGGCCCACAGACTCCTACTACTCCAGCAAAGGCCCAACAGGCCCAAAAGGCCCAACAGGCCCAAATCACAGCGCCCAGAGTACCAAGCAGTTCGCACAACGCACAGGGGTGCCTTCGGCCCCCTGGCCGAAGGCTCCAAATTATCACAGAGCGGGTTTCTCAAGCAAACTGAGAAACTGGGAGAAAACGGCTAAAACAGCAGCCCTCGGCACTGTGAGCCCTCGGCACCAGGGTGCCTTCGGGTGGAAGAGCCCTCGGCTACTGCTCTATAGCCGAAGGCATCTCACTCGACAAGATATCCGCCTCACATACGTACAGATTACCGTACTCTGCACAGACGTCCCATCCAACAGCCGCATTAAATGCGGCCACATGCGGCTGCCAGCGCCAACCAGTTGAGGTGACCCCTCGGCCAATGAGCACTTGACACGTGTCCCTGCCCGGCATTTATTGCTGCTATAAATAGCACCCCATTTCCTCATTTGTAACCGCGCTGAAAACGCTCCACATTTATAATACGCTCTCTCTCTATATTCACCTGCTCTGACTTCTCTCTAAGTTACTCCCCGCAAAAGCCCTTCGGATATATACCCCCGGGTAGACTATCCATCAACGTATATTCGTTGTATTGTATTTATTTTGAGTGCACCTAACGACAAGTGCACGTCACATGGCGATGGTCCGGAGGCCCGTCAAAGGTGTTTCAATTAACGAGATGTGGGACTCAAAATTTCTGCTACAGTTCTACCATAAAGGAGATATCAATAGGGTACTTCAGGACGGACCTTGGACTTTCAAATAGAGAACTTGGTGCCAATACGTCGTCTAGGGCTGGTGGATTGACCACTTCAGGTGGTGCTGGACAGTGCTGGTTTTTGAATCCAAATCCATAACCTACCTAAGTTTTATGACAGAGCAAGTTGCATATGGTATTGGGAACACTATTGGTTCATTCATTGCAGTTGATGAGCGTACCCTAGGGGGTGTTTGGAGATCTTCTTGTGAATTTGGGTGGCCATAAATATTAAGAAAACATTAGTTCGGGATATATAAATTATATGTGAAAGTTTGGGGTGTTCACCGCACACCACTCTCCTCCTTCAAAGTTTGAAGTACTTTAATCATTTTCCCCTAACTTTAATCACAGTAATTATAAGTGGGAATGGGTAACAATAACACAATACTATCATAACTTCTAATCATATTTTTGTGAATGTGTTTTATTACAAAAATAGTTTTACAAAAATTCTTAATCGCAACAAATCTATTAATTACTGAAGTACATATAATCCATGCAAACTTTCCTCCCCAAACCGTTGCCAACTAAATTAAAAAATATGAATTCATGTGTTTTATAAATTTAATAAAAATATCTGCTACCAAGTTGCAAAATAAATTTATATCTAACCATTAAGATGACTAAATAAGTTAGCCAAAAAAACTGACATGGCAAGTCAACTTATGAAATGAATACTACGTAAATACGAAGTGGCTTATCATTATATTGAAGATGCTCTAATATTGAACTCAGAAATATGAAATGAATTTCGACACTAACTACCCTTCCATGTCAATAGATTTTGTAAACTTTCATTTGAGACTATCTTTTAAACTAATCATTTTTATTTTAAAACAATGAATTTGTAATGCTATATATTTGTCTATAATTTGCAATGTTTTACATTCACATTTTAAAAATAAACTTCCTATAGTCTTTGTTTAGTGATCCAAAAGATAATGATAATCATTATCTATAATAATGTTCAAATAACAACTGGCAAACATAAAAATATAAAATCCATTCAAAATATGGCAAGCAACGCTATAGTCTTTGTTTTTTGGGGAAAAGGAAAATCATATGAAATGAAGGTTCATAGTTCATATCCTTGAATGTCAAGGGCAAGTTAGTTATTAGCTTCAGTCCAACTTAAATTCGTTGAGTAGCTCATCCAGGCCATCCATCATCCCTGGAGGGAATTTACCAAGTTTGAATTGACCTAATATTGATGAAAGTTCATCCGGAAAACAGCTGCTATAATCTTTTCTCTCGACGTCACGAGGCCGAAACTCAATGCCTTGAATGATCATAAACTCATAATCCCAACCAACACCAACAGACGCTCGTAGATCCTCATTTGCTCCGTTGTTGAAGAAAGACTTGATTTCTATCTCCTCCCATCCGTCTTTTCCAACCCTCTTGTTATGTCCAATTATAGGGACATCGTTAACGGCGTCAATGGCTGAATCACTATATTCAATATCCCCAGAGTGATATTCAGTTTCTTCTTTGTACATCAAATAACACGAATAATGTGTTTCCTTGGATAACAACATTTGATTTGGCATTTTGAAACAAATGTCAAACACACCAAAATTCAATGCGAGCTCAGCTACCTCCTTGAACCTATGGACACGTCAATATACACACTCATAAAGTGAGAGAGCCAATATTTACTAATTGTTGGAAAACCGGACCGGCTCAGACCTCAATCACCACCAAGCCCAAAGGCTCGCTCACACTCACCACCAGGGATACAACCGAGGAAGACAGAAGGGCGACAGCCAACAAGCCCTCACACAAAGAACCCAGACCCCAGCCCAGAGAACCCACCGGAGCTACAGATAACCCACCACACTACCAGACCAGAGTGAAGCCCACAGAAGGATTCCAAAGGTCTCACCGGAGCAAAGTCGGAGCTAAAGCTCAGAGGAAACCGGCACTCTCTCACTCTAGGTCTAGGGTAACCGAACTGAAGCCACATTTTAGAGAGAAGGCGGAGAGGCAGAAATAGGAGGATTCCAGAAGAACCAGCCAATATAAGGGAGGGCCACAAAGGGATGGGCTGAGTTATAAGACAAAACGGGGGGATGGGCTTGGTCGGGTAGACAGCCCATTTGGGCCAGGACAATTAATAGGAGACCAACTCCATAAATGAGGTGGACCAAAAGGCAGTTCAGGGATGACCCATAGATGAGGTGGACCAATACCACAACAATCTCCACCTTATTGGTCCCCCTGGTGGTGTAGAGCACAACGTGAAAGGGAGAATCATCATCGCCGGTTTTTCTTGTTTTACAGTTCTTATCTAGCCACAATCTAAATTAAGAATACGCTTACAAGACAACAGTTTTTCAAAAGTGAGACATTTAGTCCCCATATCTGCAGGGTTAAATTCTGAAGGTATCTTGGACAGCTTTATCCAACCTGCATCCACAATATTCCTAATAAAATGAAACCTGACATCAATATGCTTGGTCCTGTCATGGAATACAGGATTCTTGCATAATTGGATAGCAGACTGGCTATCAGAGTACACTGTCACAACCTGCTTAAGAAAACCAATTTCAGTTAGCATTCGTTTAAGCCAAATAGCCTCTTTAAAGGCCTCAGTGGCTGCCACGTATTCAGATTCAGTAGTGGACAGTGCAACAATAGGTTGAAGTTGAGATTTCCAACTTATGCAGGAACCACAAAGAGTAAAAATGTAGGAAGTAGTAGACTTTCTATTGTTCCTATCATTTGCATAATTGGAGTCAACATAGCCAGTAAGTAAAATGCCAGTTTCAGTTTTAGAAAAAACAAGACCATGAGAAGGTGTACCCCTTAGGTATCTAAGGAACCATTTAAGGGCAGTCCAGTGAGACGTACCAGGGTTTGCCATATATCTACTTAAGCAACTAACAGCATAAGCTATATCAGGCCTTGTGCTTACCATGAGATACATGACTGACCCTATAGCACTGGAATAGGGTACAGCCTTCATCCTATCTATCTCAGGAGCAGTCCTTGGGGACTGATCCTTGCTTAGCACAAAGTGGGGTGCTAAGGGAACATTCACAGGTTGGGCAGAGTCAATTTTAAACTTTTTCAAGACCTTTTCAAGATAGGAGGTTTGGTTCAGGGTAAGGGTACACCTACTCCTATCCCTAAGGATATTAATCCCTAGGATTCTCTTAGCATCTCCAAGATCTTTCATAGCAAAGTTTTCACAAAGGCACTTTTGAACTATCTTAATAGCATTCACAGAGGGGCTAATGATAAGCATGTCATCAACATAGATTAACAAGAAAACAGGTACAGCAGCAGTATTCTTAAAATACAAACAAGGGTCAGAATCAGACCTTTTGAAACTCAAGGAAGACATACACTGGTCAAACTTGATATTCCATTGTCTGGGAGACTGTTTCAGGCCATAGAGGGCCTTCCTAAGTAGACAGACATGTCTGGGGTACTTAGGGTCAATAAAACCCTCAGGTTGGCTCATGAAAATCTGTTTATCTAGTTCACCATGAAGGAAAGCAGTGGTAACATCCATCTGCTTCATCTCCCAGTCATTATGGGCAACTAGGGCAAGCATCATCCTAATTGTTGTGAATTTTACTACTGGAGCAAAAATTTCAGCATAGTCTACCCCTTCCTTTTGAGTGAAACCTTTTGCCACTAACCTAGCTTTAAACCTAATGTCATTTGGTTCTTCTTTAACTTTGAAAAGCCATTTGCACTCAACAACAGAACAATTAGGAGTCCTAGGAACTAGGGTCCAGGTTTTATTCAACTTAAGAGATTCTATCTCACTTTGCATAGCACATAGCCAATTTTTAGATTCTCTAGAGGCAAGGGTTTCCTGGTAGGTTTTAGGCTCATTCAACTCAAGAGTTTCAAAAACAGAGAAAGAAAATAATGAAGTATCATACAGGTGAAAAGCATAGTCAGTCATACTATCAGAAATCCTCTTAATGTTTCTTCTAGTCCTATCTCTGGCTAACACATAATCATCTAGACTCTCATTCTCAACTTGGATCTCTCCAAGTTCTTCATTATCAGCAAAGTCAGATTGAACAATCACATCATGTAAATTTTCATCATTACCACTGGCCTGCTCCACCTCACTAGAGGTGGAGTGGGTGTCATGCATAGTGTTGGTCAAATCAGGAGTACTAGACTCATTCACCAAAGGGGCAGCAGTGGTCTGGATGGGCTCCACCTCACTAGGAGAGGTGCCATCATGCACAGTTTGAGGGTCAGTCACATTTTGAACTAAGCAGGGAAAGTCACTTTCATTGAACACAACATTTCTGCTTATAATGACCTTAAAACCACTCTGGTTCCTATCCCAGATCCTATATCCTTTAACACCTTCAGGATATCCTAAGAAAATGCATTTCTTAGACCTAGGGTCCAACTTATCAGACTGTTGATGTACATAGGCAGCACACCCAAACACTTTTAAATTTGACAAGTCCAGGGGTTTCTTAGAGAAGACAGACTCAGGGCACTTACCTTCTAAAGGTACAGAGGGGGATCTGTTTATCAGGTAGGTGGCAGTATTGACAGCTTCTCCCCAAAACTTCTTGGGGAGGCCAGAAGTGGCAAACATACTCCTAACTTTGTCTAGGAGGGTCCTATTCATTCTCTCAGCTAAGCCATTCTGTTGGGGAGTATAGGGCACAGTCTTGTGTCTCCTAATCCCACTCTCAACACACAACCTATCCATATCCTTATTGCAGAATTCTAAGCCATTGTCAGTTCTAAGAGTTTTAACCTTACATCCAGTTTGATTTTCTACCATAATTTTCCATTCTTTAAACCTGGCATACACATCAGATTTATGTTCTAACAAACAGACCCAGACTTTCCTAGAAAAGTCATCAATTATGGACAGAAAGTACCTCCTACCCCCATGGGTAGGGACACTGGAAGGACCCCATACATCTGCATGTATGTAGTCAAGGACAGCTTTAGACTTAGGCTCAATAGAATAGCTAGAAGCAGGAAACTGAACCTTATGTTGTTTACCTAGGACACAACCCTCACAGAAAGGTATGGGTGACACCAAGTCATTACCAAAACACCCAGTTTGTTTCAAAATATTCAATCCTCTATTACTCATGTGACCCAGTCTTTGGTGCCAAAGCACAGACTTGTCACTGAGTACAACATTAGCATTTTTAGAAAAAGGTTTGGCATGCACAACATAAAGGTTATTTTGTTTCAAGGCTTTAAACAAAACAAGGGAGTTTTTCAAAATCTTCATACACCCATTTCCCCATTTACCCTCAAGACCACATTCTTCAAAAACAGAAACAGAAAGCAGATTGTGCCTCAGATCAGGGACATGTCTAACATTTTTTAGTTTGAAAACAGTTCCATTTTCAAACTTAAGACTTATGTCACCCACACCATGGACCTTACACTTCTTATTGTCAGCTAGGGACACATAACCAGAATCACAAGCACTATAAGAAGCAAACAGATTTTTAAAAGGAGTCATGTGGTAGGTACAACCTGAATCTATTAACCATTCAAATTCAGTTAAGTTGCTTAGGGCAGAATTAGCATGATCACAGATCATGAACACTTCTTCACTAATTTCTTTATCAGTCACAGAGTTGGCCTGTTCATTTCTTTTGGGTTGGGGACAGTTCTTTATGAAATGATCTGGGTTCCCACAGTTATAGCACACCCTTTTCCTAGACTTATGCCTCTTCTTGCTAGGTTGTCTACCATTCTTATCCTGATTGTCCTTTTTAGGGTTTTTAGACCTGCTTTTAGACCTTCCCCTAACAAACAAAGCTTCCCCAGATTCCTTATGATGGTTCCTAGAATGTTTTAAGTCAAGTTCTTTACTTCTCAGGCCATTATAGGAATCAGGTATAGCATTTAATAAGACTATGGCAGTGTAGTCATCTATATCTTTATCCCCAGCTTGCTTAATGTTTTGGATTAGTTTGTTAAAAACATCTAGGTTTTCATCAATATCTTTTGATAGGTCAAGCCTAAACCTAAAAAACTTTTCCAACAAAAACAGTTTGCCAGGAAGGGAAGTATCAGTATATAGAGACTCAAGTTTATCCCAGAGGTCTTTAGCAGACTCAATGACTCCAACCTTTCTTAGGACAGAATCAGACAAGTTTAAATATATGGTTGAGCAGGCTATTTCATTCATTTCAACTTGTTTGGGTTTTTCCTCAGTTTCTAAGTATTGCCCAGTAATAGCTCTATGAACTTTCTGTTGTATTAACACACATTTTATCTTTTATTTCCAAATGTCAAAATCAGTCTTACCATTAAAAGGCATCATACCATACTGGTTTGAAGCCATGATAACAGTTACAACACAACAGCAGAGATACAGGTAATAAGGGAGCTTAACCCTGATGGTTTGGGCTGCGGACTAAGTGACCACACAGTTCCGAGGCCACTGAAGTGGCTGGCAGGGAATCACTTAGCCCTAACCTCAGGTGCCCTAGCCAAACAGGGGTTAGGAAGCCACACAATTACCAGAACTCAGCCCACACAGAAGCGGAAGCAAAGTTGAAAACGACTGACAGAGCAGAGGAAAAAACACAAAGAAAATAATACAGCAGAAAATAAGTAGGGCACAATACAGCAGGTTCAGAGGTTATCACACAGAGGATAAATTCAACACAGGCAAGTTCACATATATCAGTGGGCAAGTTCGACACAGATTGGACCACTCATGCACTGTATCACCAACCTAGGGTTTTTGCAGGTCTTATCTAAATAAGATCTACACATGCAACGGTTCAGAAACTTGGGATTCTAACCGGTAGTTCCTCAACCTAGGGTTTCGGAATACCCATGCATCACAGAAGCCGGTGGCACTCCGGCAGTCCAAGAGTTAGGGTTTGAGTTTATACCTGAGCGGGTGTCACGGAGAGACAACCCGACTTACCTTCTCCGATGGTGCCTTCAGACGTTACCGGTGTGGGAGTTCTCCGGTGAGCTTCTGGTGTCCGAGAGAGGCAGCAACGTCCAGGCTCTGATACCACTGTTGGAAAACCGGACCGGCTCAGACCTCAATCACCACCAAGCCCAAAGGCTCGCTCACACTCACCACCAGGGATACAACCGAGGAAGACAGAAGGGCGACAGCCAACAAGCCCTCACACAAAGAACCCAGACCCCAGCCCAGAGACTAATGTGCCAAAGTCTCGTGTGTTATAATTATTCATGCGTAAAAACCTCTCCAAGAACAAATGTAATTGCCAATTAAATTGAAAATCATTAGTATTTTTGCATAATTTAACGAACTTCACAAATTTACTTGTACATATATTCGATCACTCATATATTAAGATAAGTGACTTCCAAATTGTTAAATTTATTCTTGAAGAGAGTTCTGCGTATGAATAATTATAACACAACAGGTCGGGTTTGACACATCTTTTAAATCATAGAGACTAATTCATCGAATTTATAAATCTAGGGGGTTTTGTGAATTAAACCCCTAAGTGTTTTATTTCCTACGTTTAGTCCAATTTTGGGAAGAAAATTAAGTCTAATTTGATAGCATTTGCCTGCACTGTAACAAACCTGGCGTTTGAGTCTGGTCTGCTTTTCGGGTACTCTGCCTTAACATTGGTCCCAAAGAAAGAAAGCTCGACGGGTGCAATCATCACGCATTTCTGGCCAGAACACTTGTCCAGATAAAACATCTGTTTTCAAGTTTTATTATCATGAAATCATACCGTAAGTAAATTAACTTACATTAAGTTAAAAATACATCACCTAATGAAGAAAACCAGTGTAAAAAAAACAGTAACAGAAATAATTGCACCTTTTAGCCTGCATCAAGGACAATCGGATCATCGGAGAGGCTGAGAAATAGATGCTTCTTGGACGGCGGCGGTAACTCAAAGGGCAGTGGAGTGGATGATTTGGAAATGATGTCGTCGATATCGGACGGCAGAAATTTGCTCCAAGTAGTATCGGAGTCGGATGCTGATTTAAAACGCTTAGAGATGATAGAAGAAGTTGATACATCAGCCGGCGAAGTTAAGGAAAGAATTTCAGAGATGCATTCCTCAGGCAATTTTGCAAAGTGATCCATTTTCTCGTTTTGATTTAGGAAAGCAGCGTAGGGGCATAGTTTTCTGTTTCTCAGACTTACGAAGTGTTTATATTCAAGCAAAAAACGACTCTTACAATACCAGTCCTCCTTTGTCCTATTTTCAAAATAGGAGGCCGTTTGGAAGAACCGTTTTTGGACTTATCAGAATTATCAGTCAACTATTTCATCAAACACGTAACTTTTGCTCTCGCATGCTAAATTGTGTAATAAGCAAAAAAAGTAAGATTGTAGTTACTTTTCTGACTGTATTGGCTGAAGTTATTGTAGATGACCATTTTAGCTATTTTTACATACTACGCATAATATTTTCTTTATTTTATTAATAAAATATATTTTAAAATTATTTTTTTCTTAAATCAGCAGAATCAGCCAATGCACCCACGTCAGCTACAACTTCAAAAATTTCAGCAGAATCAGTCAAAACAACCGATTTCCATGCTACCAAACAGGCTCTACATTAGGGACTACTCCTATTATTTTAAAATTAATTTACATCTTTCACTTTGTTCAATTTTGATATGATTAATGTTACTTGACCATTTGTCGTTCATTTTCGTGAATGTTAACCATTACAAACATTGACGGAAACAACATATATACACGAAAGCACATTAGTCATTGTTGAAGTTAAGTCCCGAAGATCCGAAAGCCCAACACACGCTTGGGATATTAAGGATATAGGAGATAAGTTGAGGGTCTAAGAAAATATCAAAGCTGAATAATAATATGCTCAAAAGCCCACTTGTATTAAGCAATTCACTGATTACAGGGGAAACTTCCTGAACGGTACGTCGGAATAGTGATAATACAATAAAAAAAGTGAGAAATCTATTCTAAGCTCTAAGTCTCAAAATGCTAACCCCTTACAATGAGTCGAACCCCTATTTATACTAATAAAAGGGGATGGGGTGATGACGTGGCAGAATCTGACTTGCTACCGTTCTCGAGCCACTTGGATGCTCATACTCCCACTTGCTGACGCCATATCCTAGTATTAAATGCTCCTTGCCACTTGCAGGCTACCCATTCGGGCTTCAGAGCGATGCCCATGCTGCCATCATTATTAATCTGGCCCAAGTGACCTGTATGACCTGATCCTCGTTCGGGGTAAGTATTGAATGGGCCTATTCTTCTTTGGATCCTTGCTGAATAATGAGCCGGGTATATTGGGCTTTCGGCCCGATATCCCAACACGAGTCCCCCACTTCTGATGTCCCGAACGATAGTGAGAGCATAAGGAAGTAGAATAATTTTGATCATAATAATTTGCACGATTGCCGGTCAGCAATCGTGTATGGGATCTTGCCGATTCCCGATGTCCTATTTTTACGGCCCACTAGCGGTTGTCGTTTGATTTTCTCCATAACCGTTATGATTACTGGGCTTTGATTCTCCGCATGACACATGTTTTCTCAAACGCTCTTGGAGACGTCTTACTTTGATTGGTTTGTGAATCGGTGCCTGTCAGGCTATAAATAGGCCTCGAGTTCCTTGGTTATGGGTTTCAAATTCTCATTTCCATCGTGCTTTAGCTCTGCCTTCTCTCTAGGGCTCCCAAGCTTTTTGTGTGTTCAGGTACTTTCAGCCCCTTCCTTGTTCTTCATACTCTCAGTTTTGGTCATTATGTCTTCTCGACCGCGCTCCCCTGTTTCGAAATTGGCCTCCCAAGGGACGTTCATGATGATGCCCTTGTAAATGCCATAGTTGTTCCTTTTGCTGATGTAGCCAATGAAACGACGGCGAGAGTTAGTGCGGCGGCGGAGGATTCTTTCGACAACTCCTCTTCTTCCAGCAATGAAACAAGATGGATTTGACACATCTTTTTAATCATAGGGATTTGTGCATTAAACCGAGTGTGTTTTATTTCCTACGTTTAGTCCAATTTTGGGAAGAAAACCAAGTCTAATTTGATAGCATTTGCATGCACTGTACTGTAACAAACCTGGCGTTTGGGTCTGGTCTGTTTTTCGGGTACCAGGGCCGGTCCTGGGCCTGTCTGCCCAGCCCAACTGCACAGGGCCCGGTATTTTGGATGGCCCCAAAAAAAATAGTATTACCCCAGCCCATAAGTTTTGTTTTTAGCCCAAATCAATTCCCCAGGCCTCAAATCGGCAAATCCCCCTCACCCCCTTCTCGCTGCTCGCTGCTCTTCACGACAAAGAGACACGGGACACCGCCACGGCGCCACTCGGCCCACTCCGCCAGACCGCCGTCCACCTCTGCCCTCTCCACAGGACCACAATCGACCACAACCGCACGCCGCTGCCGGCCCTGCGCAGTCCGACACGATCACACGAAGCCCTCTCCTGCTCGGCTGCTCTCCACGACTCGACTTCAACCGACGAGCCTGCGCGCAGTCCGACACGCTGACTTCAGCAGACCGCCTCCGCCGCCCTCCAGCCTCCCTCAGACGCCCTCCTTCCGGTCAGTTGCTAATTTGCTAATTCTTTTATTCATTTAGTTGCTAATTTGCTAATTCTTGTGAACTTTCATTTTATTGAATATTTGAATTGATGAATTGTTTGTTGAAATCTTGTAATTTGTTTATTTTCAGATTTAATGTTTGTTGAATTGTTGTGTTGTTGTTATTTGTTGATTTTTTGCATTTAAAGTAAATCATTATTTGAATAAATTGGTAACTTGAGGTTGATAAATTGGTAACTTGAGGTTGATATATTATAATATACACTAGTATAGTCATTCATGCTTTCACCCTAATTTTAAACTTAATATTAATTTAAAATTTATAAACATCTACAGGATTATAGGAGAATTTCAATAATTGGTAATAATTATGTTTCCATATAAATATCAATCCAGTCATGAAAAGCGTCAAAGGAAAAGAAGACTTGAGGAGTTAACCCAATCTCAAAAAGGAGCTCTTGATAAGTTTATTATTAAAAAAGTTAGAGATGTTCAAGAGGCTGAACAACAAGAAATGAATGTTGAAAATAATGTTGAAATACCTGATCAATTTGTTAACGAAATGGCTGAGAATTCTGATAAAGAGGACCACAGAATTGATGTTTTAGATGATAGGCGAAATAATTCTGCTTTATTTGACATATATGATCCAAGAAACTTGGATGCTCTAGATTCAAAGTTGACAGACACTTTGGTAGAGAATGGTCCTAAAAGAGATTTAAATTTTGTGGAAGGGCCTAAAGATAAATTCTCTAGAAGATTATCATCAGCTTTTTACACTAGAAGTTTGCCTAATGGAGAGAAATGTGATAGAGACCGGCTTGTTTATTCAAAGGAGCTTGATAGGGTATTTTGCTTCTGTTGTAAGATTTTTAGAAAAGGTGTAGGCAAAGGTTCTTTAGCTAACACGGGTTTTGATGATTGGGGACATCTTAGTGCTAGACTGAGAGAACATGAAACATGTGTGGAGCATATGGGTAACATGAGGAGTTGGGTAGAGTTGAGGCTTCGATTACAAAAATGAGACAATTGATAAAGTAGCTCATGATCAACTTTTGAAAGAAAAAGAGTTTTGGAGGCAATTTTTGTTAAGGGTGATTTCAACTCTGAAATATCTTGCTAAGCATAATTTGGGCTTTCGTGGAACGAATGAGCGGCTCTATCAGAATCATAATGGGAATTTTTTAGGATTAATTGAAATGCTGGGTGAATTTGATCATGTTATTCAAGAGCTTATTCGTCGTGTCGACAATAAGGATACTCATCATCATTATCTTAGTCATAAGATTCAAAATGAATTGATAGAGATGCTTGCTTCAAGAGTAAAATCTAAGACCATTAAAACAATCAAAGAATCTAAATATTTTTCTGTCATACTTGATTGTACTCCTGATTTGAGTCACCAAGAACAAATGACTTTGATATTAAGATGTGTTGATATCTCCTCTTATCCGATTAAAATAGAAGAATTTTTCTTGGAATTCTTGGTTGTGAATGACACGACAGGACTTGGCCTTTTTGAAGTGTTGCAAAGTGTGTTAAAGTCTCTTGATCTTGATATTGATAATGTTAGAGGACAAGGATATGATATTGGATCAAACATGAGAGGTACGCATCAAGGTGTGCAAAAAAGACTCTTGGATGTAAATCCTAGGGCATTCTATACTCCTTGCGGTAGTCATAGCCTTAATTTGACCTTGTGTGACATTGCTAATTGTTCTCGAAAAGCAAGAGATTTTTTTGGAGTAGTGCAACGAATCTACACACTCTTTGCTAATTCTACAAAAAGATGGCAAATTTTAAAAAATAATGTCCAAGGATTGACTCTAAAATCCTTATCAACCACTCGGTGGGAAAGTCATGTGGAAAGTGTCAAAGCAATAAGATTTCAAATCAGTGACATTCGAGAAGCATTGCTAGAATTGGCCGAGACAGACAATGATCCTAAAATACAAAGTGAAGCTAGATCCTTAGCTACAAATGATCTTTGTAATTTTGAATTTTTGCTTGCTACAGTTATTTGGTATGAAATATTATATGCTGTTAATTTGGTGAGCAAAAATCTACAAGCAAAAGATATGCTTCTTGATGTTGTTATTGTTGAAGTCAAAGGGCTAATTTCTTTTTTTGAGAAGTATAGAGAAACTGGTTTTTCTAGTGCTATGCATGTGGCTAAAGAAATAGCCAGTGAATTGGAAGTTGAACCAGTGTTTCCTCAGAAGCGTGTAATTCGCAGAAAAAAACAATTTGATGAGAGTGTTGGTGAATCTTCCGTATCATCCACATCAACACCAGAAGAGCTGTTCTGAGTGGAATACTTTGTCTACATTGTTGATCAATCTATTGGCTCATTGACACGGAGGTTTGAGCAATACAAAGTATATGAAAATATGTTTGGGTTTTTGTTCAATTCTGAGAAGTAACAATCTCTTACGGATTTAGATTTGGAGTCATCTTGCACTCATTTACAAACAGTACTGCAGAGGGATGGGCAATGCAGCGATGTTGAAGGCCACGATTTGTATATTGAGCTGAAGTTGCTTAGAGAGATTTTGCCAAAGGAAAAGATAGGGGCAATAAGAATTTTGAATTCT